TTTTTTCTTATTCTCAATAAAAAAAAAAAAAAGAAAAGAAAGAAAATGCCTCACGGCTGGGTCTCAAGGAGGATTTCCTCAGCGGATGCTCCTTCTTCTCCGTTGACTCTAGCTTGTGTTAAGCTGACACACAAAACCAGCCAGTGCTGACTTAGAGATGAAAAACTGTCTTATCTCCTTTCACCTCCTCCCTTCCAGCCCTCCTCTGAGGATGCTCCCCCGTCTTGGTGAGGCATGGTCCTGTGATGGTCCTCACCTGTGATGTAGCACAGGCTATGTTCTTGGGAACTGGCTGAGTCTGCAAAGACAAAAGCTCCAAGGCACCATGGAGCCAGCTTTCACATCCCTGCCTGTATCATCTTCATGTGGACCTAAAACTATTCTTTGAAGGAAGATTATAAGAAAACCTTTTGCTCTTGGGAGGTATCTGTGATGGCTTCAATGAGAAATGTCGCTCACAGTTTCAGGCATTTAAATACTTGATCTTCAGTTAGTGGCACTGTTTGAAGTTTAGGAGGTGTGGCCTTGCTGCAAGAAGTATGTCACTGGGGTGAGTTTCAAAGCCCCCTGACATTTCCTGTTAGGTGTTCTCTCTCCTCTCTCCTCTGTCTGTTGTCTGTCTGTCTGTCTGTCTGTCTGTCTGTCTGCTTTATGCTTTCAGTTCAAGATGTGGCTCTCAGTCTCCTGCCTCCACTGCTAGGCTCCCTCTGCCATCTTGAACTCTGACTCTCCGGAAATGTATGTCAAAAGGAATTTTTTTCTTTGGTCAGCTGCTTTGGTCATGGTGGCTTTTTTTTTTCCACAACAGAGAAGTAATTAGTATAACCATCCACAGTAAACACAACCAAGACCGCATGTTCTAGGTGAACATGGATTCCATCCCCAGACAGGAAACTCTACCTGCACAGCTGTGAAGGAGACAGCCGGTTCCTGGTGATGATGCTGAGCAGGTGTCAGACTGCACCTCCAGCAGAAACCACATTTCTATGGTTGTGCCTATGCTAGCTCAAGCACCCCCAGGGACCAGAGAAGGCACTGCCCTGGCTCCCATAACCTACACACCCAGAGGAACAGCGGCGACACCTTCCAAATACTTTGCCATATGGAATCTGGACAAGGGCTGCCTTCAAGCTCGTCTCCCAGCCCTCCAGGCTGCAGACCCCAACTTTGGGTCCCCAGAGTCCTATTATCGCCTTCATCCACTTCTGCACCCCCATGCCTCCACCCGGATCGTTAGAGCCTGTGTCCCTGCGGATGGATCTAGCGCAAATGCCTGCGCTCAGGAAACAGAGGGCCTTTTGACCTGTGACTCCCAACTGGTTATCTGCATCAATCATCTCTCTTGTTAATTGCTTGACTCCCCACTCCGTGCTGTGTGCACTTCTCAAGTGGCCTGGCTTACCTGGGATAAATGGGGTGCGATGCCCAGAAGCGTGCAGGTCCTCCCTCCACGTGGTCTTTGTGGAGGGGTGTTTTGTTTACTGCTGTTAACACACAGGGAGTTTGGGAGTGCTGTAGAAGGATGAGGGGGAGCTGGAGGGTGGGGGAGGGGAGGGACAGCGACTGGTGGGAACTGAGCTGGGGCCTGGACCTCTTGGGAGTGGGATTCATAAAACTCTTGATCCTGTGCTGAAACTAGAAACCGGATACTGGGCCACAGTTTCTTCCTTGACCCTGGAGCCTGACTTGACCTCTCGTTTCTTCTATTCTTCCCCAGTTGGATGCCCTGCTCTGTCCACTAGGCCACTCGTTTTGAGGAGGACAGAGGGACCTCGCTCTGCGTCTCACCTCTGCTTTGCCAGCCTTCTGGATGCCCTCCGTCAGCTCCTGCTCTTCCACCCAGAGCTCAGCTGCACTCATCCAGGGGCTCCCCAAGGTCCACCTCTCCCCTGCCTCTTCCATCACTAGGCTGTGTTTACACTTCCCCTTCTCCCCCTGGATTCTGCGTCCTTCTTTGGCTTGGATCTCCAACAGAAGTCATCTTACACCATAGAGGACCCATGTGCACTAGATGACTGATAAGTTAGACACCATTTACCCCACTAGGCTTCACCTCCTTCCACCTGTTTACTCTCCTTTCTTAAGGAAGGGTCTGACTGTGTAGCCCTGGCTAGCCTGGAACTCTCTGTGTAGCCCTGGCTAGCCTGGAACTCTCTGTGTAGCCCTAGCTAGCCTGGACCTCTCTGTGGGCCTTGAACTTGTAGGGATGTTTCTGCCTCTGCTTCCTGTGTGCTGGTATTACAGACCTGCCACTTGTCCGCTAGCCTTCCCCTTTGGAGCCCTGATAGTCTGTATTCTTCTTCCAGACCGGCCACATGACCCCTCATGGGGTTTGAAGTGCCCACAACCCCCAAAGCTTGTGCTACAAGAAGCTTCCACAGAATAGGGCCCAACCATTCGTGTCTGACTCCTTTACCACACAGTCCTGGGGACAGTCCCTTGAAAGGATGCCTTGAAAATCAGATGTGGACAAAGCACTCAGGTCGGTGCGCATGGAAGAGGGTTCCCAAACTTTCCCTCTCTCTGCCTTTTGCCACATTCACCCACATTTTACCGAGCAAACACCCTGGCTATCTCTCTCCCTAATGGCAGCCTCTCTGCTCTCCACTCTGGTGGAGCCAGTGAACTTGGACAGATGTCATACTGTCTTATGTCATGACTTGCCCCCAAACACAAGGCTCGTAACCAGGAGTGATCTCAGCCCAGGCAGCATTTGGCAGCACATGGGGATTTGCTGATTTCACAAGTGCTGGGGTGGGTGTTGAAGCACGGTTAATAAAAGCTCAGGGACAAATATTGGGGTTCAACTTGAAAACCAGAAAAGCAAAGCAGCCAGCTTTTCTTACCTTATCCTCAGTCTGAAAATGACAATCTGAAACCTCAGAATGAGACTAAGAGCTGTCTCCACCCATTTTATAATTCTCTCTAGTTCTGGGATTAAGGGCATGCACCCACTACCGCTTGGTTTCTATGGCAAGCTAGTATGGCTACTGGGATTGAAGTGTGTGTCATGGCTGCCTGGTGTTTAAGGCTGGCCAGTGGGGCTGTTTTACTTTTCTGATCTTCAGGCAGGCCTTATTTATTAAAATACAAATGAAATGCCACTCCAGGCTATCCACAAATGCCGCTTCTGATTTACCGACTGCGGTCCAAAGATGGTCACAGATATTCTTACAGGTCAGCTCCCCACACACAGGAAAACATTCCCCAGTCCCAAATGGCAGTGCCAACAGGACTGAACCCCACCCTGGTACTCCCTATGCCAAGGACAACTGTGTGTCTAGTTTGAGTGTGATTTGCTGTCTCCCACCCCTCTTCAGTGCCTGGCCACTGCTAATACCACCCAAGGGAAATGAAGAACCAGAGAAGGCTTCTCACTTGGCCAGGAGCCAAAAGGTTCCTGTCACCCACCGCTGGGACTGCAAAGGCAGCCAGGAGCTCTGGTGCATTCAGGGGAGCCAGTCTGCAGGAGGCCTCCCTTTGAAAACCCCAGCCCTCAGTCAATCCTCAGCACAGGAAAGCCAGGCATGAAAGGCTGATGAGAGACGGGTAAAGGGGAGCACTTTTGTTTCTAAGCTTACGGAGAAGGGTGGAGGATTTCTGAACGGAGCCAAACCACACATGCCTCTATTGGGGCGTGAAAAAAGGACGGACAGAGACGGAATAGCGCACCTGCCTCCACTTGCCATGCGCAGCACACACACAAGGCCGCAGGAGTGAAAAGAGAAAGCGTATTTACTTAGTGGGAACTCTCAAATAATGGCCCTGCCTGCCCCAGCAGGTAGGACTTGCGGTTTAATTGCACTTGGTCTTTTTTTTCAAGACAGGATATCTCTGTTTGACAGTGTTTGGACAGATGGTGTGCCGTAGCGCCTATGGCAGCAAGATGGTCTCGCTGTTCCCAGCCTCGGACCGGATCCCAGGGTCCCATTGTTGGCCTCTCTGTGTGCAGAACACGGAGTCACCCCTGCACTGTTCATGTGTAACTGCTCTTCCGTCACTTTAAAGATCTTAGATTTACTGACTTGATGTGTGAGTGTTGGCTCGCATGTCTGTATAGGCACCATGAGTACAGCACCCTTGGAGATCAGGAGACGGTGTTGGATTCCCTGGAGCTGGTGTTACAGGCAGTGGGGGGGCTGCCATGTGGGGGCTGAGAACTAAATCTGGAGCCCCTAAGTGTAGCACATGCGCTAACCACTGGGATACCTCTCCGGCTCCATCCCGCTACTTATTTTGTCTGACGTTACCCAAGATTTCCTTCACTCATCCTGACCCAGAGAGAGGGTCCGCTAGTTTTGGGTCCCGTAACAACATATCAGAAGGGGAGAATTGCAGAGCGTGCGGCTCAGTGGCGTCACTGAGGGCTCTGTTCTCCTCAGGCATTCTTTACCTTTAGAGTCTCCCTCTTAAACCGTCACCTCGTGGTCAGGAGCCGCTGCCGCAGCTGCAGGCACCAAAGAGAGGATTGGCTGCACGTTGTGTGGGCGAGCATCCCTTTCATCCAACTCTATGAGGATTTTTTTTTTCCAGTTTTGGTTTGTTGTTGTTCGTTTTGAAATTGCAAGTAAATAAATAAGGGCATGTTGATCATCCGATGTCTGTGTTTTATTAGGGAGAGGCTGTATTTCCTAGAGGCCCCAGGACATTCCTTTTATGCCCTTTGAACCCAAATTAGGTCATGCCTTCTCGGCGAGCCCAACGGCTAGCAAAGGAGCCGCTGATACCCTCTCAAGACTTATCTCAAGAGGGTAGGAAAATGTTTCCTCCAGGCTTGGCCAACACTTAAAATCAGAGCTCCCTTAGAAATGGAGGAGCCAAAGTGCCTGTCTGCAAGAGCGCTCACGTGACAGGTTAGTTTTCCAGCTACTCAGTTCTGACAACGGAGCTAAGCTGCTGGATCATGTCTTGGACTCATTAGTCACGTGTTCTTACACTGACAGATCTGTGTGCAAGCCGTATCCTGGGTGCTGCTAACATAGCCTCTCCCTCTCAAGCAGGACACGGAACTTTCAGCGTGAGCCGTGGCTCCAAGGATCCAGAGCCCATGTCACAGGCTGGCCAGACCTACATGAGATGTCTTCCTAAAGAAAGGGCCCATGAAGCAGAGGCCCCCACAGGTACAGCAGTAGCAGAGCTGAAGGCTTGAGGGAGGGGTAAGGTGAGTGGCCCCTGGGGGAAGAGCTTCTGCAGAATAGGGGTCTTTGGGAAGGTCGGTGCTAACCTTGGTCAGCTTTCTCAGGCCCTGGACCTTGGGAAATACATTTGCCCCCTCTGTTGCAGAGAATCATGGCCTCATCTTAAGACAATGGAAAACTACTGCAGGGTTTCAAAGTCATTCTGCCATTAGTGGGGATACACTAGTAACTTGCTACTGTGTGCCACTTCCAAACAAGGTCATGGCCCCTGCCACCAGCCATTGTTACAAAGTTGCCCTTACCTTACATAGTTCTTTTGGGACCCTGGTTACTTTTCAAGACAAGGCTTCTATCAAAGAACAGTACCAGCCCCTTCCAGTCCCCTGGGCTTTATTGTCTTGCTATATAATCAGTTCTGTTGCACTTGCTGGGATGCCATCCCATGATAGGCAGCCAGTGGGACTTGAACTGATGGGACCACCCAATGGTGGACCTTCAGCCTGCAGAACTGCGAGTTAAACAAGCCTCTTTGCTTTCTATGTTATCTGGCCTCGGGTGCTTTGTTATGGCAACGATAAACATACAAGCCTAGCCTGAGTTCACGACTCACAAAACCAGGGGCTGTAATAAAGTGATGGTTGTTTTGAGCCACAAAATGTTGGTGTGGTTTGTCATGTGGCAAAAGTTAATTGGGACACTGCTGCCATAATGACTGTTGTTCTTTGTTTATTAGGTTTCAGTTAATATGCAAGTAACGGCTTTCACTACGGCGTTCTCAAGTCCACATCCACCTAACAATGCTCCTTAGTGTTTGTAAGAAGCCCTCTCCACCTGAGCACTGCACCAGCCATTGGCCATTAACTGCCCTTCAGGAAGCTTCAGAAAGACCATAGGAGCTGCTTCTGTAGGATTTCCCCTCCAGGAAAGTTGTTGGGTTTGCAGGATCTGGCCTTAAACAGTGCTCAAACTCTATGTAGGGTAAACACTCCCCCCCCCCCCCCCACACACACACACACTCAAAAGTCAGCACCAACCCGTGCCAATTAGTCAGCCGGCTCCCCTTTGGAATAAAAATAATGCAATTATCTAAATTCTCGGTTGGCCATGAATTCAGCGGAGGTGCCTTGGAGTGTGTGATCTCTGAAATGCACAGGTAATGGGGAGGTTTACTGGTTTACTGCAGGCTGTCTGCTTCAAATGTCAGCGTGAAGTGAGGCAGCAGGTTCTTTTAACCAGCATTTATGCAACATACCCCCAAAGCTGTGACTTGCAGAGGGAAAACGTCACCTTCTCTTTTTCGGACACCTTTTACTTGTTATTTCCATAGGAAATTATTCTTTCAGGGGTAGCTCCGTCTGTCAGCCCAGCATTCCTGGCTGCCACAGAAGCAGTTCTTACAGCATCCCACCTCCTCAATAACTTTCTCTTTAGCTTCAGCGCCCCTGGATTTTATTTATACCTGACAATTCCCTGGGGTTTCCTGGCAGGAAACGTTAGTGAGAGCTGGGAGCACGTGGTTTAAACATTCAGCGCTGTGTAATTTTTCTTTATTAGTGTTTCCCAATCTGAAGAGGACAGCGGATCCACTCCACACCAAAGGCTGCCCACTTTTTCAGTGTTTCCAGTCCCATCACTAATTGTAAGCCTTAAGGTACCAACTCACTGGTCTGCTTTGTCGGTACAAAGGAGGCTGGGATTGGGGAGACGGCTCAGTGGGTTAAGTGCTTGCTGCACAAACATGAGGGCTTGAATTTGGATCCCAGCACCCACATAAAAGTCAGGTGTGGTAACACATACCTGTACCCCAGGCTCTAGGGATAGAGCAGATAGGAGGGTCATTAGGACTTGCTGGCTAGCCAGTCCATCCAAAACAGCAAATTATGGGTTTAAGTGAGAGACACTGTCTTAAAAAACAATGTGTAGAGAGATAAAGGAAGATGGACATTAACCTCTGGCTTTAACAGAGTCCTGCACAGACACAGACACGCACACACAAAAAAAAAAACCACACACACCCAGATACACACAGACAGAAGACACACACAGATACACAACACAGACACACAGACATACACAGACACACATATACATGTAAGTTTGTGTAAGTACACACACATTCATACATGCACATGTGTTCTGGGGCTGGGGTGTACCTCTGTAGTAGAGCCTCTGCCTAGAGCTAGGCCCTGAGTTCCAACCCTGTACTCCCGAAGTGCAGTTTTGTTGGGTTGGCATAGCTCCCACTGAGTGAAGGAAATGAAGTTCCTTGCACACTCTCTGTGCAAGGCTCCATGGATTTGCTCACCTCCGTAGTTTCCTTTTCACAGGCATTGTAACTGGTCAGGATAAAAGTGCCCCCCTCTGTCACTGGCCATAGCCCCTTACACACCTGGCTTTCCAGCTATGGACCTGGCGTATGAACCACGTCCCTTCCTCATTCTGCTTCGGGACCCCTGGCAGCCCCTCCACCACTGACCTCTCAAGCATTGTGAGGCTGTCACTCAAGAAAGCAGAACCAGATGAGTCTGGCTGCCTATCATCATCGGAGTTCACCACGAGGAAGGTAAAAGGCTTCCCGACTCACCTGGAAGCACACTGGAGGAGCCACCATCTGGTGGAAGTGGGTCCAACGCAGAGAAGGCTTTGTTTTCAAGAGAAGGGGTTTTACCAAGTTAGACTCATAACCCCGGGGGCACAACTGCACCCATGGGGCTCCCTTATCAGCAAACTGACCTTGCAGTTTTCTTTCTTTCTTTCTTTCTTTCTTTCTTTCTTTCTTTCTTTCTTTCTTTCTTTCTTTCTTCCTTCCTTCCTTCCTTCCTTCCTCCCTCCCTCCCTCCCTCCCTCCCTCCCTCCCTCCCTCTCTCTCTCTCTCTTTCTTTCTTTCTTTCTTTCTTTCTTTCTTTCTTTCTTTCTTTCTTTCTGTGTGCAGGCATGCATATGTGTTTGGGTCTAGGAGACAGCCTTGGGTGTTGGTCCCCAGGCATCACCCACCATTTTCTTTCTTTGCTGTCCTGGAGCTCACTGAGCAGCCTAGGCTGGCTGACCAGTGAGCTCCAGGGTCCTGGCTATCTGTGCTTTCTCGGCCCTGGGATTGTAAGTGTGCCTTGCTGTATTTAGCTTTAAACAAACTAACTAAGAAAAATTTGTTTTATTTTTAATTAAGTGTATGTGTCTCTGTGTGGGTATGAGCTTGTGAGTGCAAGTGCTCACAGAGGCCAGAAGAGGGCGCCAGACACCATGAGCTAGAATGACAGGGATTGTGACCCATCTAACCTAGGTACTAGGGACCTGAGCTCAGAACCTCTACAAGAGCAGTGCATGCTCATAACCACTAAGTCATCTCTGCATCCTCTGCTCCAGCCTCTTTCCCGAGTTCTAGGGATCAGATCAAGCAGGTCCTTGTGTTGGCAAGGAACACACTTCACCGACAGAATCATCTCCCAGTCTCTAGCTCTGGAGTTCTCTATATCCCAGAAGATCTTAATGGAAGTCAGAGACACAAAAACAGCTCTCTGGAAACACAGGAAACAAGCAGTGGGTTAGGCCTGTGCATCTTACCCTGGAGGCAAGTCTTGCAAACAGCGTCCACAGACTTTCTGTCCAACATCCATGGCAGCCCAGGTCCTTTCCAGCAGACTCACTGTGATACTTCCAAGGTTTGACTTTTAGATGTGTATTATTTATTATGGTCTGCCATGTTCCAGGAAGAGTTGGAGGCATCTAGCTAAAATATACAACCATGAAAAGCCGATTCAACTTCTTTCTTGGTTAAAGATGCCCTGCTATAAATAGAAAACCCTGGAATCTTTATTATACAGCAACTTATTCATGACGATTACCTTATTTTACAGCAAACAGACGTTTCTAATAAATGAATACAGTTAAATATATGTCCAAAATTTTTCTTTTAACCTTAAAATTATAGTCAATATGTCGTGTTTTCATTTTTGCCTAATCACAAGGAAGTCTGATGTCATCCTGTAAATTACACAGGACAGTTTTTGACAAGGGCAAAGCTAAATAGTCCCGATGATTTGGATAAACTCTGCCATCCTTATCCCTGCATGGCGCGGAGAGTCTCGTGCTCAGACCCGTCCTGGGATTCCTCCATCCGTGACTTCAGCTCATCTCTTTTCCTTCCACAGTGAAGTACATTACTTTCAAATTTTTTCCTTCTGTGGGTCACCTAAAATCCCACATTCCTGTGATTTATTAAAGCATTCTGATGCCAGTCCCTTATTTGTGTTTTTATAAATACACTCTTGACTCTCTGCCAAGCAGAGAGGAATTTATGCATTCTCTGGTGGGGTCAGGTTTTGGTGGGACCTTATGATAGCGTGTGAGCCGGAGTGCTGGCTGGCTCTTTGTGGTCGTTACCTGGTGAGCCAGACTGCTTCCTCAAGAGATCTCCTCCGTGCAAGGACCAGAGAA